TTTTGATTTATTCTATTCATTCACATTCGCTTTAAGCTAATATTTTCTCTTATAAGCAGAAAAATAACTGGATTGTTTTTATTGCTTAGGTAGGTGGACGAGCTCACAGCCCACCTGGTGTTAAGTGGTTACTGGAGCCCACAGACATGTACAACGTAAATGCGCCACCCACCTTGAGATATAAGTTCTAAGGTCTCAAGTATAGTTACAACGGCTGCCTCACCCTTCAAACCGAAACGCATTACTGCTTCACGGCAGAAATAGCCAGGGCGGGGGTACCTACCCGTGCGGACTCACAAGAGGTCCTAACACCAGTAATTACGCAATTTGTTACGTAATTACGTAATTTTTAAAATAGTTCAATAAATAAAATACACTTATAACTTCTGTTTCTGAACTTTATTTTAAATTCTTCTTAAATACATACGTCAAGTCTTAAATTCAAACCAACCATTTAACAATATCCAGTCCTAGAGAGACGAAAAATTAAGAGATTGCAACCTCCATTTTGCATATAGAACCAGTGTATAAGCATAGTAAAAAATCCAGTTTTCCACTTATACAGGCACAAGAACGAGTTTTGTCACTAATAGATATTAAAAAAATACAGTAAATAAATAATGATGAACTTGTATCTAAATTTGTTATGCATGTTCTTCATAAATTAATCTGATGAGCTAGGAATTATCATGCAGTATAAGCTCTATGCTATAATCTGATGAAGCGATAATATCAGTCCATTAAGTAAAACTCATAATCTCGAAATCCAATTATCATAAACCACTCATAATAAAGTACACATAACGGCCTAATAAAATATTTTCTGGCGCTTTGATGGTTTATACACATTTGGATTACACTATTATTCAATTTCAAATCAAACATTCTCATTGTTGAGGATATTTGGTTTTTTTTATTTTTAAGATAATTTCAAAACCTCTGGAAATGGAATGTGTGTTTTTTGCTAAAAGCAAATTAAAGGAATAATTTAATAACAATAATTCTAATTGTTATTTGATAATTTTAGGTTTTTCACCCAGACTAATACCTGAATGTCCTTCTAAAGCACCCTTTAGAAAACACGGTAGGTTCATGATAGTTACATTAAATCTCACGGTGGCTCAAATATATATTTGAGTCATGGTCATAATGATGAATCTTATATTAATCAGTGAGAAGGCGAAACGTAAGTTGACTGTTTTTCTCTTCAAAATTAATTAAGATAGGAACAAAGACAATTTTTATACTAAGTTTATTTTACATTTATATATTTGATGCCGGTGTACCTTTATGAGATCCAAAGAATATCAACGCCGAAATATACCTAATGATTGCCAGAAGGATAGCAATAAAACTCTTGCCAAAATACTACTTTCGCAGACTATTGAGTGCTCCAAGTTCGCCGTCGAGAAAGTGTTGAGCAGTTGTACTCAAAATTATAAGTTTAATAATTCATAATTGAATCAAAATAATTCATAACTGAAAACAATCATTTACAAACCTTGAACCTTGATTTTTGCAACTCTTTCCCGAAAAGGATTTCCGGTCTACTAGTTGCATTTTTTATTGCATAAAATTTGCAAATAAACGCAACCTGCAGTTTGCATTTCTTTCTCGCCTAAAACGCCCGCTGGACTGTTCGGATTGGAGTCATTGAGCCTGTATACGATCGAATAAATTGTAGACTGATCATTTTGATTATTTTTTTTCGTTCTAACCATCGCAACTACGATAGTACGATGTAAAAGTTGATCTCTAACAAATTAAGAAACAACTAAATACTAATTAAAAGTTCAGTATTCATGAAATTGAATACTAACCTAATTTCTTTTTACTGGTGGTAGGACGTCTTGTGAGTCCGCACGGGTAGGTACCACCACCCTGCCTATTTCTGCCGTGAAGCAGTAATGCGTTTCGGTTTGAAAAGTGGGGCAGCCGTTGTAACTATACTTGAGACCTTAGAACTTATATCTCGAGGTAGGTGGCGCATTTACCTCGTAGATGTCTATGGGCTCCAGTAACCATTTAACACCAGGTGGGCTGTGAGCTCGTCCACACATGCAATAAAAAAAATCTTATTGCATTTTTTAGTTTACAATTATCAGTTGTTATTTGATCGCTAAGCTTAATTCGCTTGAGAAAAGTATTCTTTTCTTAAAGAAATAAGAAACTTGAACTGTTGTTCAACTATTGTTCAAGTTTCTTATTTATCATTGTACAGATTAAATAATTAAGTTGACCTTTAATCTTAAGCTCTCATCCACCCGTTGGAGTGAAGGTACTTGAGTCAAAGTAATTAAGTAGGTACCGCTCTGATTAAATTAAATATTTAAAGTTTTAAGTCTCTCGTAACAACATGGATACATTTGAAGTAAATGCTTTTAATCTAAGTGAGTGGACGGTTTTGAATTCATAAGTTACTTCGAAATTTTAGTACTATTTTTATTTCACTACGAATTTTCGAATACGGATGTGTATTTTATGTACGGGCGGCATACGGTTCTATCCGCAGATACTTGTAGATATAGTAAATATTATGGTGTGGTATATTACTATGTAATGTACTATTTTAATTATTATATTTGACTGTGGTATTATATTTACTGGTGGTAGGACCTCTTGTGAGTCCGCGCGGGTAGGTACCACAACACTGCCTATTTCTGCCGTGAAGCAGTAATGCGTTTCGGTTTGAAGGGTGGGGTAGCCGTTGTAACTATACTGAGACCTTAGAACTTATATCTCGAGGTGGGTGACGCATTTACGTTGTAGATGTCTATAGATGGCTCCAGTAACCACTTGACACCAGGAGTGCTTTGAGCTCGTCCACCTATCTAAGCAAAAAAAAAAAGAAAAAAATATATATGAATTATTTTATTAATGGTCAAATATATACGAGAAAATTGTCTACATACATGAAATGTTTTAAATATTTCGTCGACATCTGCTTTTAGCTCTTTGCTCGTAGAATTTCACCTCCGGTTTATCGGAGAATGATACTTGCTATAATAGCAAGATCCAAAACGAAAGTTTATCTAAATGATATATGTTTTAAGACACTGTCATTATACTGATTGTAAGGCATCATGGGAATTCGCAGGCGTATGTGCCACCAACGGTAGGCAGCGGCTTGGCTCTGCCCCTGGCATTGCTGAAGTCCATGGGCGACGGTAACCACTCACCATCAGGTGGGCCGTATGCTCGTCTGCCTACAAGGGCAATAAAAAAAAAAAAAGTGCCTATTTCGGTCACAAAGCATTAATGTGTTCCAATTTGCGAGATGAGACGTCATGTCTCAAGGTGAGGGTAGCATTTACGTTGTGATGTCTATAGGCTCTAGTAGTGAATTAATACTTGGTAGTGCGTAAGCTCGTTCACATGTTTATATTACTGTGATTTCTCCTGGTATCTACTCTATTTTTTATTACTTAAGGTCCGTGATGTAAGTGGTTACCGGAGCCCATAGACATCTACAACGTAAATGCCGCCACCCACCTTGAGACATGAGTTCTAAGGTCTCAGTATAGTTACAACGGCTGCCCCAGCCTTCAAACCGAAACGCATTACTGCTGCACGGCAGAAATAGGCTGGGTGGTGGTACGTACCCGTGCGGACTCACAAGATATCCTACCACCAGTTACTTAAAATCAAACATTTTAAATAGTTGCTAATGAATTTAGTAGTATGTCAAAGTGGAAGTGTTTAAAACATCCACCTATAAATAATTTAAATAGTCTAGTTATTGAGAGTCTGTAGAAGCGTATTTAGAAATTGTTTTTTATTTATTTATTTAACGTTTTACTTATTCTTATCCGTAATCATAGAGAGCTTTGTTTCCTTCGATGAACGTACTTGTCTAGTTTTGTGAATAGATCTCTGCGTCACATCTCTCGGATGTCATTTCGATGCTTAGTAAGTGGTCATAATCGCCGAGAACTTTTGACGTCAACGTTGGAATGAGTCTTTGAAATACACCTACGCTGTGAATTATAATTTATCTTGTATACAATTGTATACTTTGTACTAGTCCCCATCTTTTCTCTGAAAGATAATAAAATAATTTTGTGATGGGTAAATATACGAGAAAATATATGTAACAATGTTCACTATATAACCCTCCACGGCGCTCACACACTCCCTCCTAGCGCTATGACATGTCTTTCTTCAAACGAGGCTTGCGGAGAGTACTTTATGGTAGGCAGCGGCTAAGCTCTGCCCCTGGCATTGCTGACTTCCATGAGCGACGGTGACCACTTACCATCAGGTGGGCCGTATGCTCGTCTGCCTACAAAGGCAATAAAAAAAAATATTATCTCTGATGAATTAGAATTTCTTTGAAGCTGGAGATACATCGGAAATGTTGTATTTGTTCACATATGTTTGTATACGGGTGGGGTATACCTCTAAATATGAAGGATTAAAAGATAACCAGTAGTCATATAGGTAATATTTAAATAAAATAATGTACAAATATAGTATCAACATCACCTTGAACTATAAATCAATGATGAAAATTAATAAATTCACAAAGCGTGCCTTAAACGGGACGGTGTCCAGAAATAGCGGGTCTATTATTGACTGTGAAATTTCAAGCGAAACGAAGCTTTAGATTAATGTATTTAAAAAAAAAATATATTTTATATTCATTTAATTTTGTAGTGATAAAAATAAACAAAGAAAAAAAAAACAATTTAAGAGATTTCATAATTTTTGAATAATAAACATTTTGCTTGTGTAGGTTCTCGTTAATACTATACTACTGTAAGTGTTTGAAATGATAGAATGATAATACTTGGAAATTAATCGTAGAGTGCATAATTCATATAAGTATAAATAGGATGAATAAATGTTTCATCATCAAACATACTTTTATCTTGATCATTTCATTAAAATAAATATTTACTTTCAAAATATAATACACAAAAATATTTGCCATTTAATATCAAATATTATGTTCAAAATTTATGTCCTTTTTTTAACCTAAAAAATATTTTAAATGTTACCTGTATCCTTTAAATTAATGATGTATGTATATACGTTAAACTATCCACAATAATGCTTTATCGAACATAGCAAACGTCATAAGATTCGGATTTGTCCAGGCACTCGACACGGTTACGACAGAAGCACGGGGCCGCTCATAGCACCGGCCGAAGCGATCTGATATGTACCCATTGTGCGATTGTTGTCGAAGTTAGATCGTGTGTCGGGAGACTGTCAGCGCAATAAATAGTCCTGCCGAGCCGCGGTCCGGGAGAGCACTGCTGCGATCTGACTCCCGCCGACTCCCGGGTGTGCCCTGCCTCTCCCGACGACGCGCGCTTTATACAGATTCTGTTTTCACCCTTGTAACTTTAACATTTAATGACCATCGTTCGACAGTTTTAGTAGATGAACCTGCTTACTATGAAATATGTTTTATAACTTAACTAGCGACCCGCCCTCGCTTCGCTTCGGTAACTGTAATTTATTATTGATTTCTCCACTATTTAATGGATGTTATTATACATATAAACCTTCCTCTTCAATCACTCTATCTATTAAAAAAAACCGCATCAAAATCCGTTACGTAGTTTTAAAGATTTAAGCATACTTATGGACAGATATAGGGACAGAGAAAGCGACTTTGTTTTATACTATGTAGTGATCCAATCACTTGATTTCTCAATCGATTTTTGTGTCTCAATCGAAAAATGTACATTAAGTTTGATGTAAGTATACTGTGTGTTTGGTTTTTTATTACCCTTATGAATGAAATTAAAGAAATTCAAAAACAAATCGCAAATAGATATTTCGATTTATTTCATTCAGCATGTCAAACTGAAAGGAAAACAATAAAAAAACACAACATCAAATTAGTTAATTTTAAAACAACAATCAGAAATTTTGCAAGTGTTCGTTGAACTAAATACGAACACTGCCACAACACTAATGAGTGGAACGTTGTCTGTGTTATTCGCTATTCAGTATGCAAAACGATCAATGAAGTAGAATCAAAGCTGGGCCACAGTTTTAAGCGAATGCCGATTCAAAATGTTTTCATTCTGTCGCGTATTCGATTGCTTTATTCTAAAATAGACGCTAGCGTTCAAATAAAAATGTTCATCTTAAGAATGTTGTTACAATCATATCTTTAAACGGAATTTTGTTAATTAATATTAAAAATATAACATTTGTGTATTTTGAAGTATCAGCTTTGAGGAAGGGAGAGAAAAAAATCAATTAACTTTACTTGTTGAATTCTACTTATTTCACGAGAATTACGTGTCCACCCAGAATGTAATTCTCACACTGAGTTAAGTTCAATTGAGTTAAGCATTTAGTCTTTTAATTATTTAACAGACAAATCTTAATTATACTATGTCTTACTAAGTATGCCAAAGCTATGCCAAATTCAATAAACTATCGATCGGTCGTAATGCTTCCCGCGCCTAATATTTGTAGGTATTAGACGTGCTTCTCGTGCAGGAAGCAACTACAACCATAAGATGTGTGACTACATTTTCAGAGCTTTTAATTTAAGGTTATCTGTTTGCAAATTTTGTTCAAGGGCTCTTTACGACAAGCGCTAACCAGCAATTATATTTTAAAATATGTTAAACCTTACAACGTTGTAATAGGGTATGTTATGAAAGGTTACTCAAATGAAAAATATAAACAGTGCAAATTAAAAATTTGAGTACCATAGATGAACAACTCTCTCCATTATCAAAATATATCATTAAAAATAACGCAACCATAAAACAATACTACTTCGAACTATGAACAAAAGGTATGTACGTATTTAGAACGAATAGTTTCTATATATTCTATATTTAAATTCTGGCTTAAGCATTTATAGGAGCGTGAAATAAGAAAATAATTTTCTCTGGAACTCGGAATGGAGAGAAAATGCACGGCATGCAAAAGTTACATTTATCCAACTGCACGAGAGCGGTTCACAAACATTTCTTCTGGGGCTCATGAAATTCGAAGAATTTGTTTAATACGACACTGGTTTTACATTTGTTCGGAGCACTAGTGAAATGATTTTGCATTTCTCATGTTGACTCCAAGATACTTTTTTTTTTTTTTTTTTTTTTTCCTACCTAAGCTGATAGCCCTAGCGGCTATGTCAGCGTAACCCTAACTTTAGTAGGTGAGCTCACGGGGCTCAAACCTGGCGATGTTGCTAACACGAACCCTAGTAAGAGTCGTGCTTCGCAGAATCTACCACCAGATCGGAAACGCGACCCACTGAGAAGATCCGGCGAGAAACTCAGTGGGCTGTGTCTGAGAGTTAATTTACTCGTAGAGCCCTTCGTCGCAAGCGACGGGTTCGACGAGAACGGTGACCGGTGCTTGAAGTACCTAAAAGCACCGTTAGTGGATCGGGAGGATCCGAGATGACGTGTTTTGGGCGACGTCGACTGCTTTCCATTCTGTCCGCAGGATCGGGAATGATACTTTTATAAGAGTAAAATTTAGAAGAGTAAAATTTATTTTTAAGAAAAAAAAATGTTTGAAGTTGTAAATATAAAATAAACGGTACTCAATAAAAGTTTAAATGCGATTAACTTGAAATGATAAAGAATATATTTCTACATCAGATACTATAAAGTTAATAATATAGCAAACATAGATATATGAACAGTTCTGTTTTCTGTTTCAATGACGACCCACTTAATGAAAGCGTGCCCTAAGTGAACAGTGTAACGCAAATATTGGTTTAGGATAAGATATTGCACTTATTGTGGGGGTTTCTTAAGCCCGCACTTTGAGGTTAGGTACGAAGATCGTAACTGTTTCCGTCGAGAAATAGCGTCCTGCGCTTCAGTTCGAAAAGTTATAACTAACGATATAATTCTAACTATCACTGAGATTTCGATCATGAAAAATTTTTTTTTTTACTAACAATCACGCCACGTTAACTGGTCCCGTGTTAAGTTCGTAAAGAACTTGTGTTACAAGTACCAGATAACGGAAATAAATATAATATTTTTATTATACACATACATATATTTAATATACACCCATAACCCTGGAAAGACATTTATATTTATCATACAAATATCTTCCCTTGGCGGGATTCGAACCCGCGACCCCCTTGTGTAGTAATTAAAACTTCTTTTACGCTTTAAGCTCGCATATATTATTTACATGTAATTATCTTCGTGGTTTCGAATACTGTTTTACTAAAGACTCAGGCGTTATACGTCGACAATTGAATATAGAGTTAGCTGCGATTGATCGATCCCACATCTCAAGGTGTGTGATGGCTTTCACGCTGTGATATTATTCTTTAGGCCACCACTTAGGGCTGTGTGATCGTTACGATCACCTACTCACTTTAAGGTATTACAATATGTAGCTTAAATATCATAGAAAAGGCTTAGATAATCAGGAAACCGAAATGACAATTAATTTCATATTTTTTCCCATCCTGTTGACTCTGGTCATAGTATTAGAGTAAACTTATAAAATAATTGAATTGTAATTGGTCGTTCATGCGTGTGGATATTTTTTAGTTAATTGGACATTTTGAAGTCGCTGAAAATGACGTTCAAAGATTTTGTTACATACAAAAAAAAAAAAAAACTAAGCCTACTAATGGGATGTTTAAACTACGCGCAGACCGGTAGGTGAGCTCACGGGTTTAACCTGAAAGAATTTCCTAATACTAGGCCAGCCTTAGCAAGAGCAGTACTTCGCTGAATTTACCAGATCAGATTCGCGACCCACTGAGAAGATCCGGCTAGAACCTCAGTGGGTTGTGTCTATGGGAAACATACATAAGTATCAAGCGTGTTAAAAATTTTACGTATTCTTTCTTATCTTTTTCGCCTTAAAGACAAAAGTACCACTTTTTTGTGGTCGAGATATAATGGAAGTAGATCGTTACCACGTTATTACTAATTATTACTATACTATTTATTATAATAATAATAATAAATACGTTGTTAGTAATCAATTAGATCTCATCAAAAGAACACAGGTACCATAATAATATAAAAACAAATCCAACCTATTTTTTATAATGAAAGTAAAAAAATGAGTCAAGAAAATTACTGTCTAGTTCGGGAAAAACAAAAGAAAACCTTATTGGGAAACGAAAATTGACCTCCTTTTAACGCTGCTGTCTCCTTTGTACGCTTTAACCTAAAATACATTTACTTTCATATCTCTGTTTCACTTTCACATATTACTTCACAATTTACCAAAACATACATACATATAAAGTAGCAGCAGTAAATAGAAACGTAAGTAAAAAGTAAAAAAGAAGTCCAAAATTTGATTATCAGAAACACAGATTGTTTTAATTTTAAGATACATTGTTACCGTCCGTAGATAGTATAGAAATAATAGCAAAACTTACACTAACTAACAAAACTTATGTTACTCAGGAATTTATATGAATAGTTAACTTAACTCGTCCAAGGTTTAAAAGAGTTTACTTTTCATTGTCACTCAAACAAAACGCCTTTCATAAAGTAAGGCACGGCCCCAAAATTACTAGCCGTTGAAAGCCAGGCTATATAATCTGGCGAGTCAAGAGGAGTTAACATTCAAGCCACCCGGAACGGCAACTATGTTCGGTATTAAAGGGTTATTGAGAAAGTTTATGAAAAAAGGTTATTTTTTGACGAAGCTAATGTTGCTTTATTTCTTCCGAAATTAATTAAGTTTTGTCACAATTTCGATTTTTTTTTGACGAGAGGGAAGAAGAGCACTCCCTCTCCCGTTCCGTAGCCTCCTTCAGCGAAATGGTAGACTCGTAGAAGTCGAGAAAACTGTTAATTAGCGAAATGGTTTTTACTGTAAAAGAGATTCTCCGCGTCCACGAAAAAATCATAACACATTTATTTATAGGAAAAATACATGTAGTATCTGAATGATTACGTAAAAAGTATACGTATGAGCAATCTACCATAATATTTCAACGGATAGAAACAGCGAACATGATGTGTTGTTTTGATCCAGTTCATCGCCAATTTGTCTAACTCACGCAATTCATGAAAGTTTTATCAGACGATATTCGAAGACCGTTTGACCTCTATTGAAGTTATGTCACAAATCCTAAATTCGTAATGATTGCTACAACATAATACCGAACTAAAGTCGTATAGATTACTTAAAAGCGACATTGATTTATTGAATCTGGCAGAATTAAAATATAAAAGAGTCGATAAAAATCGCTCTTATATAAGT